GTGCATCCTAAAGAATTGCCCTCTCTGACTTGTTTCCTCCCTCCCCTCATCTAAGGCCCATCTCAAGATGTATCTCTATGACTGTGCTTTCGGTCATCTTTCCTCTCCCATCGCCAGCTCAGGTGCCCAGTGTCAACCACTTTGACATATGTTCCTGATGTGAAAGGTGCTATATATATGTAAGTTATATTGTATTGTACCACCCAGTGCACATATTTTGAGTTTATCGCACGCAGCGATGGTGCAGTTGGGGGAAGTTGTCTTGTTGGGACAAAATATCGATTTTAAAGTTTGTTCATCTTTCACACAAATGAAAATTTGGAAATTACCCTTAGAAACCACCAATACCTTACAATCATAACTCTGTTGACCAGATGATGTGATGGGAATTTGGGGAATAAACAGAGTGAGTCTCCCTGAGGCTGAACTGCCTCTGAGGAAATATGCTTACAAAAGTTCAGTAGTTTTGTAGTAACCCAGGAAAGCTCAGAGGTCTAGATATATCATCAACTCTGAAGGTCAAAGCTCTCACTAGTAGGTGTCCTTTCTGAACAACTATTGTGCCTTGTGGATATCTGTGTGCTGTGATCATGGATTATTTGTACAGTCTCAGAACTGCCTTCTTTAGAACAAATATGTTTTCACTGCCGTGAAAGCTGCTTCTGAACTTCAGGGAGAATATTGGGGAGATCAGTATTCAGGCAAAGTGCAAGTACTCAGTCCACTATATCAATCAGTTGAGCTTAGCTCCAGAGCAAAGCTCTAACTACAGATAGACAAGGAGAGCAATAACCGACTGAGACCTGGGTAACTGGGCGTCTCCTGTGACTATGACAGGTGCTGCTACATGCTAAACTTACTGTGATACAATGCAAATTTTGGTAAGGTGACTTAACAATAACAGCTGGTTCTTCTCTTACTACAAATGTCTGGAAATGATTGTGCCTCAGTGGTTAGAGCACTCGCCTGGGGTTGATTCCCGGCAGGGCGAAACGTTGGGCAAGTTTCCTTACTCCACACGCCTCTGTTTACCTGGCAGTAAGTAGGAACCCGGTTGTTAGTCGGTTGGCAATCGCTTTTCAAAAAATAATAATAAATTGGTCACTCAATCCACGACTGTTGTGGGACACTGCTGCCATGCAATTGGCTGCCGTGTTTTGCCCCACAAAATATACAGTCAATTCACTTTACCGCATATTCTGTGAAGCGCTTTAGATGTCTTGAATACGTGATAAGGCGCTACATCAAATGCAAGGATTATTATTATTAAACTTACCACAAGGTACAGGCTGCAGCAATCCCCCAAAACAATTCAGTGCTTAAACTCATCCCAACTATTTAGTTCTGTATATTAGGAACATAAGAGTGTGTAAGATGCTAAAAAAAAATGGAGATTCTCTATATGTAGGTTAAGATATTGCAGAGTATAACAAGAGAATTGTACCTTAAATGTTTCCATTCACCAATTGCAATGCCTCTTCGTGGTCACACGGTGGCGCCACCTGGTCACATAAACACCCACCTGGAGTCGTGACTCCTGACATGTTTGCAGGTGAAATTTGTTCCACCACAAAATTCATTTAGGAAAATCCCAGATTTCTCAATTTGCATTTGCACAACTGAAGCTGCCAACGCCTCCCACGTCCAGAACGTGGAAAGGGGAGCAGTAAAATTGTCCCAAAGCTGAGATACCAACCAAAGAAACGCTTGTAACAACCGCAGCTAATATTCTTCAGCAGTTAATATAAAAACGATTTATATAAACTAGATCCACATGGGTTTAAATATAATAGAAGCCTTCAACTGGGTGCAATTTGTACGCCTCCAAATAAAAGTGCTTTTTGCAAAGGTGTTCTATAATGTATTTTTTTAAATGTAAAGTATTTACAGCAGGGAGGGGAATGGGACTATTAGGAGACAATGTCAATGATAATTAAATAAATTCAGGGGAGGTGAGAGACAGCTTGTCTTGGCCCCTCTCTGACCATCTTCAAATCATACCTGAAGACCTTCCTCTGTGACTGGCTTTGGTCACCTCCTCTCCCTTTCCAGCTCGGCATTGAGCCACATCGCTGAGAAACGCACCAGCCATGAAGAGCTCTTATAGAAATGTGTAAGGCAACATTGGCAAACATCACAATTAATCACATGTTAAAACTTAAGTCAACGATCTCCCCCTTTTTATGAGTGACACTTGCCAGGTGTGTTGAAGTTAACTCCCTGTGTGTGTGTGTGTGTGTTTATGCTGACACCAGGTTGTCCCTAATGCCGTGAATGCAACTGAATGCTTAAGATTCAAAATGTTTAATCCACTTGTCACCAATGTTCAGGATGTCAACAGTTTTATTCCAATTTATTTCCGTAGTGAAGGAAAAGCTTTTGCAATTTGCTCACAATCCCTACCCCACCCCCCCCCCCACACCCCCCCCACACACACATGACAGACGTGTTAGGTTTGATCAAGGGCGAATGCTATTTGGGGGAAGAGTTTGGAGGTCGGAAATTTTAAGGCTGTAACTCTTATGCTTGTCTGACGTTGCAAATCATATTGCAAATGTCTTGGTGTTTCGAGCAGAAGATTAAAATGTAACAGGATACTTTTTTTTGCTTGAATTCGTGCGATGTGTACAGGAGAAAGGTTCCCCCTCCACACGTTAACCCAAGATTCCTGCTACCAACAAGCAAATTAAACTCCCTTTTATATAATTTGTTTTGAAAAAAATGCTGGTCTTTGGAGATCTTTGGACGCGATTGTTTTTGAAAAGAGTTGTGGCTCTTACTCTGGAAAACAAATGGTTTAATCACATTTGAGGCACGAAAAACTCATTGATACTCAAGAGAATCAACTCATTCGGTCACAACTGCAACATTGAACTCTTTTAAGGCTTTTTTAAATCTATATCTATTGCACATCTATTGCTAAATCACTAAATCTATTGCACATGGCATTTAAAGAGAATAAAGGTATATGTAAACACACACACACACATATATATATATACGTTTATTCCCAGAACTCTTCAGATATCGTTTATTCTCTTTAAACGCCATGTGTAGATACCATCCATGTACATATGGCATTTAGTGAATTTTCCTTTGCTGTCACTATTTAATGCAATGTATCTTTATGTGCAATAGATTTAGTACATTCCCCAACTGACATGTACACATGGGATATTAAACAGGAACAGTGGTATCCTCTCGCTTTTATTCACCGATACATAATGTCAGTGGATTACCAACTGCATGTTTTACAGTAAAGGTTATCACGTTTTTAAAAAAGCCTTAAAACAGTGCAGTGTTGTCGTTGTGACCGAGATATTGTGGTTGACTTGAGTACCAAATAGGATCCTGACCCGACTTAAAGCCCCCCTCCCCCCCCCCCCCCCTGTGTGCAGACTGTGTGCAGACTCCCTCACAGGCTCCACTCTTCCGGGAAGGTTCATGGCTCAACTTTTTTGAGATTATCGTGTTGGAAACGATCAATGTTCAGAGTCAGTGACATGTCAACACCAGCCCAGAACCCCCCCCCCATCACCCCCCCCCCCCCCACCCCCCCCCACCACCCCCCTCCCCACCCCAACCCCCCCCCCCACCCCCCTCCCCCACCCCAACCCCCCCCCCACCACCCCCTCCCCCACCCCAACCACCCCCCACCACCCCCCTCCCCCACCCCAACCCCAACCCCCCCCACCACCCCCACCCCCAGCTATAAGGTGGTCACTGCTCCTGATGTGCTGGGTGTGGGGACCTGACCATGACAGTGACCTGGGCGGCCACACACCCCCCACCCCCACACAGCCTTCCCCCCCCACCCCCACACAGCCTCCCCCCCCCACCCCCACACAGCCTCCCCCCCCACACCCTCTTTACTTTTGCTTCACTCCCCCCCCCCCCCCCCCCGGGCTTAACCCTCTCTCTGCTGCTGTACTTTTTTTTGGAGGGTGAAAGTGGGTAAACTCCATGGGGAGGGAGTGGAGGGGAGGTCTTCTCTTCCCCCCACTCTCTCTCTCCCCCCCCACTCTCTCCCCCCCCCCCCCCCCCCACTCTCTCTCTCTCCCCCCCCCCACCCCCACCTCTCAGGAGAGCGCTGTGGGAGTGAAAGGGTCCTGGTGTCAGTCTGTACCTGTTCAGGTGTGTCCCAGCCCCGAGCTGCTGGGCTTTGCTCTCTCTGCTGGGGGGAGGGGAGGAGGTGGGGGGGGGGGGAGGTTGTGCTGGTGGGGGGGGGGGAGGTTGTGCTGGTGGTGGGGGGGGGGAGCCTGGTCAGCGGGAGGGGAGGAGGGGGCGGCTCCCTCCCGCTTAATTGCCAACCAAGAGTGTGTGGGAGGGAGTGTGTGAGGGAGGGAGGAGGGAGTGTGTGAGGGAGGGAGGGGGCAGTGGGGACGGGTATAAAAGCAGCGGCGGCGCCACCAGCAGCTCAGAGGAAGGACCTTGAGCCTAACATCAAGTGGAGCAGTGACTGATATTATAATTATTATTATTATTATCATTATACAGTGCGTCTGCGTAAAAAATATATATAATAATATTAACCCCGAGCGGCTCACAAGCTGTCCTGCTGCTGGGAGTCACTGCATCTCCTGCCACTGAGCGAGTGGGTGAGTGAGTGAGTGTGAGAGGAGGGGCATCGCTTTGCACGTCGAAAGAAAAAGCAGCAGCAAAAGAGTGAGGAGTTTCTCAGTCACTTTATCTGGAGTCTCCAGCACCAGCAACACCAACACCAGCAGCACCACCAACACCAGCACCAGCAACACCAACAGCAGCACCAACACCAGCAGCAACAGAACCACCAACACCAGCAGCAACAGAACCACCAACACCAGCAGCAACAGAACCACCAACACCAGCAGCAACAGAACCACCACCACCAACAGCACCAACACCAGCAGCAGCAACACCACCAACACCAACAGCAGCACCACCACCAGCAGCAGCAGCAGCAACACCACCAACAGCAGCACCACCAGCAGCACCAGCAGCAGCAACACCACCAACACCACCAGCAGCAGCAGCAGCACAGGTTGTGGTTGTTGTTGCTCTCTCTCCCGCCCCGACCTGTTCATGAGTCACCTGTATAACCTGGACTCCCGCTGCGTGTCGCCATGCTTCCCCATGTTCGCCCTGGAGACCGCTAACTTCTACGAGGCGGGTAACCCCGCGGGGCTGTCGCTGGTGAAGCCGAGTCGGGCTCTGTGCGAGGAGGAGGGGGGCGGCAGTCTGGTGGAGCTGAACCCGGCGGCGGGCGGCGGTGTGGGGACGGACCACATGTACGAGGAGGAGACGGCCATCGACTTCAGCCCCTACGTGGTGGAGCCGGGCCCGGGGGCGCCGCTGGAGCTGTACAACGACGAGCTGTTGGCGGACCTGTTCTCCGGCAAAGCGGACAAGTCCCAACAGCCCGACTATGGCTTCCTGCAGCCGGGGGCCGGGCACCTGCTGGGCTCGGCGGGCGGGGGGGGGTCCGGGGGCCACCAGCACAGGGCAGCCTTCCCCCCGCAGCCCCCACCCGCACGGCGGCTACGACCAGAGACTGGACCTGTCCAAAGTGGTGGTGAAGCGGGAGAGGGACGAGGCGGGTCCGCCCCGCACCTCACTGCACAGCCAAGTGGCCGCCTGCGCCCAGACCGCCGTCCACCTGCCCACCGGCCAACCCACCCCCCCCACCAGCCCCGAGCCCAGCCCCGCGCACCAGCAGCACCAGCAGCAGCACCAGCAGCACCAGCAGCAGCACCGAGCCCCCGGTAAGGACAAGGGCAAGAAGTCGGTGGACCGCCACAGCCCCGAGTACCGGCAGCGGAGGGAGAGGAACAACATCGCCGTCAGGAAGAGCCGCGACAAAGCCAAAGTGCGCAATCAGGAGATGCAGCACAAGGTGATGGAGCTGAACGCCGAGAACGAGCGTCTGCACAAAAAGATCGAGCAGCTGAGCAGGGAGTTGGCCATCATGAGGAACTTTTTCGAGCAACAGCAGCAGCAGCAGCAACAACAACAACAGCCGCAGCCCAGCGGGGGCTCCTTCCTCAGCACAAGTGCAGAGTGCCGGTGACCGCTCAATGCACCCCCTCCCCTCCCCCTCCCCTCCCCCCTCCCCCCTTTAATATTAAGGGGGGGGACAAAAAGAGGACACGACAGACCCCGATACCTCAACCAAAGAGACCGTTGTTTCTCGCGAGTACTGTGAACGGACAAACTTTCCCTCTGGACCCCCGATCCCCCCCCACACACACACACACACACCGTTTGCAGCCCCAGAGGTGGTGTGGACAGACAGACGGGGACTCTCTGCGGTCCCCCCCTCCCCTCCCCCCTCCACAGGACTGCAGCGACCCCAGAGGGGCGGACCTTCCTAAATTATTTTTTTTATATATATATATCTATATAATTCTTAATTTTCTATACTCTCATTAACGCATTAATGCAACTAAAGGTACATTTATACACGGGACGATTCGCGAACTTTATATTTTTCCAATTAGTCGAAATGGTTGATACAGCGCATGGTTGACACTCGTTTTTATATTAATGTGCATTTAGATCTTGTGACCCGTTGTACGGAATCATTAAATACTTTAAACCTTTCAGCCGTGTTGTTTTGTGCGCTGTGTGTCTGTGCCACAGTCCTGGGAGGAGGGAGGGGAGGAGGGAGGGAGGGGGGGAAATAACACACTGTGAATGGAAACTGCAGGTTACCCCGAGTCACAGGGTTTCTGCTGAGTCACAGTCACACAGCAAAACACTGGACTCTTCCGCAGTCTGCAACACACTTCTCGCACTTCATCCATCCTTGAATACTCGTAATAATAATAATAATAATAATAATGATGATGATGATGATGAGTCCTCACACATTTTGATACAGCGCCCGATCGCATCGTCGCCTACGTCTCGAAGCGCTTCACGGAATACACCGCAACGCGTCCTCGAATTGGCCGTGTCTTTCGTGGTCGAAACGCGGCAGCTCAATTGCGCCACAGCAGCGTTCCCCCCCACAAACCGTCGTGGATTGAGTGGCCCGATTTTTTTTTAAAAAAAGAAAGGGATTACTACCCTCAGAAATAGTTAAAATGTTAAGGGATTAAATGCAACTTCCTCTTTTTACGATGGCAATAAAACAAGACGACCGATGGGAATCAATTTGTCACACTACTATACACTAACGCTTCGGAGAAAGATGATTTCTTAACTAACGGTTGATACTCTAAAACGTCTTTGTTATTTAGTCTATTTTCTTTGGACAGACACCTGTCTGACACATGCAGAAATCTTCCTATGCCTCAGTATTCAAACCACATATCTATGCCACTGACACATGGAAATGTACCTGTGTCTGGAATGGAATGCCTTCCCCCATGGAGGGATGCACTCTGCTTTGCTTAATTCCAGACAGGATTCACACAAGATGGGCAAAAGTCAAGCCTTGTGAACCTCAGTGTGTGTGCTGGGGGACTTCTGGATTTTATCCAGCTAAAATCGGCACAGAGAGCACCGTCCAGCAAACTTCCTACTGCTTGTCCAGGTAGCACCACCCAACTGTTAAGCTTTGGCTCGACAGATTTAACAGGAAAGCTCAGTGGGAAGAATCTTTATTCCCAGTAAAAATACCACTGAAAATTCTCACATTTTAAACAGAACCTTCAACACGTTCAGTGAATTGCCCCTTGCAAGAGTGAGCATTTTCTCACCTGTACCAGGTGCAAAAAGTGAGCCTTATTTCACCTTAACTTAGGGCTATGGAAAGTCTAGTGCATTTGTACCCAGTGCAATTGTGATGTTGTCCTGCTCCAGAAACAATAGTGAGTCTTATTTCACATGTAATTAAGAATGAGTCTCATCACGTCTCTGCCCATCAGGTAGGCATATCGCACGTAACAGACGGAGTGGTGAGTCCATCACACTTATGGTAGAAACCCCATGGCGTTCTTTTTTTAAATACTTTTTCATTTTATTTTAAAATTACTTTTTAATTTACTTTTAAGACTTCAAAATGACCGTATCTAATACCTTTGTCAAATTACCCTTTTTTTAAAAAAAATCTCGCTTCTATTTTTATTTACCTTCATGCCTTCCCATCAAACGGGTGCTGGCTGGAGGGAAAAGCCCTGAGCACCACAGCCAGTTCTCCAAGCAGCCCCAAACCGTGGGCCCGTTTTACCCCATTCCAACTCCTCGACGATGCCCGCCCACTTCCAGTCTGGCGGGCTGCTTGTCGAAAATTAAAATTAATGGATAAAATTTGCCCATCTCTGATTAGTCAATGGACCTGTCAGTCAAGGCTTTCTTCCTTTATTTTATATATATTTTTTTGTACCTTTTTTACCCAATTTTGTGTTATTTCGTATTTGCATAAAACAAGGGGCCCTACCGACTATGGGCAACAAGCGAGTACATTGTGCCTGGATCACAGGTTGGCTGATAAATCTAGTTCAGGGACACCCAGCTGTGCTTCCCATACTTGAGAATGGTGTTCCAGCAGCACAACTGGAATGTTCTTTTGCATTTAATTGTTTTCTGGCAGATTGCTGGTCACAATAATAATAAAAAAAGAAACTACTGCAAATACCAAATTAAAACAACATGTTCTTTAACAACAATTTAAAAAGTCTTAGAAGTCAATAAAACATTTCCCCTTAATAGTTTAATCCTGTTAATAATGTGGTTTCTCACGGAATACACTGCTCTCACTGGCACAAATCAAAGTTTTGAAGGTACAACAAATGCAAGGAGATCTTATATATAATAATGACAATGAAAGGGTCAAGGTGATGAGGTTCAATTTGTGAGAGTAAATAAAATGATTTGGAAATACTAAATTCTTTAAGTGTCTATTGTGTCTCAGTGAGTCACCAAGCCCACTCACATGGCTATCTCATTTCCAATTTTGGGGAAGTCAGATTATGGCCAAAGGAGACTTCTGGAATGCACTTCCATTTTAACAGGGCAGTGCATTCAGGATAGGTTTGGAATAATTTTTAAGACTGTGCATTTTTAAACACTTTAAAACAAAGTTTTACAAAAATTCCTAATCACCAGTTGAGCTATAAAACAATAAATTACATATGTATAGGGCTTTTCATGTCGGGTGGACAACCCAAGGTGCTGGAAAGTCATGGATTTGGACCCGAGCAGGGGGTTAGGAGCAGGCGGTTGGGATCAGGGGGGGTGGGGGACAGGAAGGGTAGGGGTAGGAGGGTGGCTGAAGCTGCAGTCGAAGAGGAGGGTCTTGAGACGTGCCTTGAAAGAGGTAAGGGCGGGACCAAGGCAAAGGAAGTGTGGGGTGGAGTTCCAAAGGGTGGGGGGAGAGAGGCTGAAGGAAAAAAACATAATGGGGTGAATTCTGTGGTATACAACAACAACTTGCATTTATATTGCATCCTTCACACTGTTTAGCATCTCGGAGCAATTGTGACATATCTACGTGACAATTACCACATTAAATGGGTGAAACTAGTTGCCCCTCCTCATTGGAGATGTCTGTATCGTCAGCTATCCAAATTTTTGTTTATTAAAACACATCCCATTCGCCAGCTGTTAAACTCTTATGATTTGCAAGTCCAACATGATCCAGCTTCTTGTACTTCACATCGAGAATGGTGCTGGGGTAATGTCTGCCTTAGGCAGATTTGATGTGATACTATATTTGATCCCAATAATTGCAAAAAAAAAGTTTTGGGTTAGTATAATTGACCTGAAAAAAATTACTCAGCACAAATGTCAAAAAAAGCAGCATGGTTTGTCCTTAAACCCCAAACAAGTCGCCAATTTGCCCTGTGTATCAGTATGAACCCACTGCACCATGAATTGAAAGAAAAACATCTTGTATTTTATTGTGCCCTATGTCAAAATATTTCAAAGCACTTTGCAAGTAATTACTGTCAAGTGTAGTGACTGTTTTACAGGCAAATGGGGCAGCCATTTTATGCCAAGAAAGGTCCCACAAAGGTCATGAAGTAAATGACCAATTTATCTGGAGGATTGTTAGCCAAGACAATGAGAGAAACTCCTCCCTGTTGTCAAATAGTGCCATTGGATTTTAATGTGCACTTGAAAACAACTAGATGAGCCATTGGTTTAACAACCCTGTAAGTCAAGGGCAAAGTCATGGGTACTCCTGACGCAGTGAGATTAAAAAAAACTCAAGTCTATACATGTTGCTCTCATACAATGCCTTATATATAATCCAATGGCAGCCAAGGCCAACCTGACTGCACAGTGAATTGGTGGGAAACCTGGTGGCTAATGTGGAGGCTGGTTTTCTCTGAAGGGCATTTGCCCTTTCACCTTATCCACGTCAAAAAGCATCAGAGTCACAGTAACACAAGTTTCTGCATATGAAAAGCTGCATTGAAATCATTTACACTGCTGGAAGAGTGTTTAGGTAAATAAGGTAAAGCACATGTTTTGCTTCATTAAAAAATCTCTTAAAACAAATGTTTAATAATTCTGACACAGCAGCATTCAAATTTATCATTTTAATTAGTGTGTAATTTCCAAATATATACAAAATGCATCATAAAGATGCAAAATAATAGCCCACAAGTTCTCTGTTGCTGACATGAGAATCTCACTGCTACTGTAAAGGCTGATTGCTTGCTTGCTGCAGGCTGATTTCTTCTAGTCCAATCCAGCAAGATGGCTGTTTTGTTACTGATCGGACATAGCAGTTCAGAGGCCCCGTCTCCTTACCAAGCACACATTCGATTTCATAGCCCTGTCACGATAATTATATAATAAACAAACATAATGAAGTACACTCTGTACTCAAGAAAGAGGTCATTAATGGATAACACATTTATAAATACAAGTAGGTGAATCAAAGTTTTTCCTCAAGCATTACTACCTTTTATAGTGCATACCACAGGCAACGTCCATCCAGCGCTTCATAGAATATATTGTAAAGTGGATTAACTGTGTATTTTGTGGGCAAAATGTACATTTGCTTTAGGATTGCCTATGGAACTTGACAGCATTATTTTGGAGCCACTTATTACTTTACTAGGTAAATATGATTCCTTTTTATAGCATAATTGTCGAACAAGTTGAGTGGATTCCAAACAGCATCTTTCTGGGAGAGTAAACACCTGCATTCCATTGAAATGTTAGCCATTTAGTTTTCAAACTACATTTTCTAGTAAATATTGTTGCCGACTATTCTAAGAATGAGAGACACTTCAATGCCGTGGCATCAGTGGCATGAAGCACATTTCAACACACTATAAAATGTTTGTTTGGCTGCCATGTTGGAAATTTCCTAAGCAGAGATTTTGGCTGTCGCATTCTCAAATCCAATGTATTTTTAGCGCTGGTCACAGACTGACTCAGAACCTTTGGCTCAGCTATTCAGTAGCAACTGACATTTAAAAATGATTGCTATTAAAAATCCATTCCACATTTTCATTTGTGGCTTTCAATACCGTCACTTCGGAGCAAATTGAAAAACTAATTGAACTGTTGAAAAATATTAGATTAAGTAAGAGAACTGGAAGTTTTAACCAGCTGTGTGACTAAGGCAAAACAATATTTGAGGCTGTAACAGTCCCAAATAACTTATTGACTGCATTGTTTAGTGACTGATGCATTTGAGGGCAACTTTAAATTACCCGTAAAGCCTGTGTGACTCATGCCATGATACGCTCTATCTTCTGACAGTATGCTCATTAGCTTGGAATTCCTGAGTTTGCAAATATACAAGTGATATAATTTTGATGATATTTTGGTCTTTCTCATTGAACTCAGCATTATACTGGAGACATCCAGATCCTTGAATATACAAACGCATGTGATAACTACTGCTGTTGATGACCAGGTAGGTAACAACAACCAGATAAACCTGTGTTCTTCAGCCTTGAAAAGAGATGTCTCGGAGGGGGCCTCATAGAGATCTGTAAGATGCTTCTTGGGATAGAAAATGTAAACCTAGAACAATACTTTCAGATATGCCAGACAGCAAGACAAGAGGTCATAGGTTCAGGGTTGTGAACAGAAATGTTAGGACAGACATCAAAAAGCATTTCTTCACAGAATGTAATTAACAGCTGGAAATGGTAACCCGTTATAGTGTTAGAAACCAGGTCACTAGACTCACTCCCAGAAAAGCTTGACATCCACAGCCTCCAATACCTAATAGTGTAACAGTTCCTCTTGGTTTAAGACCATTGTCTTAAAATTTAAGTAAAAAAGTGCAGAAAATAGGCTTCCAAACTAAAATAGAATTTTAAGAATTCTCCAAATTCAGCATAGATTTTTACACTTTTAGTGACTGATGCATGAGATTCTCAGTTGAGAGGACTCTTGCTTCACATCTAAAAGTGTTCAGGTGCTACATCGATTGTAAGGATTATTATTATTACTACGGTCTTATATTTTAAGACTGATCTTCAGTTTAGGAGCCTGAGAAATGTTGAGGTTCCGAGGTGCTATAATCTTATCGTAATTTTGGATTTAATGGATTTCTTAAATAAAAATGTTTAGGTAACTTGCAGTTAAAAAGCATTCCACAATATAAAAAAAATACTGCAACAGAAGATCCAACTGTGTGTTTAAGATAACATCCTGCCACCTGCGAACACCTTAGCCTTGCATTACAGTTGGTTGGAGTCATGCTTTAATCTTTACCAAGAGTCTGGAGAAATCTGGTTTCCTTTTTCCATCATCTGACTTGCATGTTACAAAATAAATTCACCTAGAGTACCAAATACGTTTCATAGCATTTGTATTGTTGGCAATGTTATTTTAATATACAAGTTAATTCATTAGATCTTCAAAACAATTAAATATCTGGAACATGTGGGGAAACTTTCGCCCACAAATATACAGTCAAATCACTTTAGTCTATTCTGTGAAGCGCACTGAGACGTCTAGAAGATGTGAAAAGTGCTATATCAAATGCAAGGATTATTATTATTATTATAAAAGCTGTAAGCAGTAGTAACTTCCTCTGTACTTGATTCTAAGCCTGGCCTTTAACTGTTAGGGGTGCTGCTGACAGTTCAGGACAACATTAAGAGTAAAATACCGAGGAAGTTACCAGTGCTTCCAGCTTTGCTTGCTTGCTCCTGTAGCTCAGTGGTTAGAGTCGTGTAGCTCAGTGGTTAGAGCACTCGCCTCGCAAGCGAGAGACCTGAGTTCGATTCCCGACAGGGCGAAACCTTGGGCAAGTTTCCTTACTCCACATGCCTGATAATAATCCCTCAAGAAAAAAGAACAATAATAAAATTGGTCACTTCAATCCACGACTGTTTGTGGGACACTGCTGTGTGCAATTGGCTGCTGTGTTTTGCCCACAAATATACAGTTAATTCACCTTACAGTCTATTCTGTGAAGCGCTTTGAGACGTTGAGAAGACGTGAAAAGCGCTATATCAAATGCAAGGATTATTATTATTATTGCTCCAGATAAGCCAGATATTCTGGTCAACTATCTGGATCACTGATGGCTGCTTGGGGGTTTGGTTTTCCCTCTTCAACCTCCAAGTAAGGCATGGCGCTTATTTTATTGACTTGTAAAAGAGGAAGGGCTGAGTGAGAGCCAAACCTCTGGTTACAGCTTTAGTGGTCAGCTGACTGAGTTACCTGGGATCTTTTTGATTCATTAAAATAAGTGATGTACATACAGTCATAAACAGCCGGTCCTGCCAGCATAACCAGATAAGAACAACAACAACAAGATTGCATTTATAGAGCGCCTTTCACGTCGGGAGGACATCCCAAGGCGCTGGACATTTGGGTTGGGACCTGACCAGAGGGGAAATGGTCAGGGTGAGGGGAGGGAAGGGAGGGAGCGAGGAGGGGGTAGTGAGTCGAGAGGGGAGCTGAAGGCACGGTTGAAGAGAAAGGTCCTGAGACCGGCCTTGAAGGAGGAAAGGGAGGAGGCGGCGAAGGCACTGGGGGATAGAATTTCAGAGCCTAGGGGCTGAGAGGCTGAAGGCTCGGCCACCGATGGTAGGGCGGTTGGGGCGGGGGATGTGGAGCAGATCGGAGCCATAGAAACGGAGGGTACGGGCAGGTAGGTAGGGGGATAGTAGGTCGGAGAGGTAGGAGGGAGCAAGGCCGTGAATGGTCTTGTAGGTGAGGATGAGGATCTTGAATTCGATCCTCTGGGGGATGGGGAGCCAGTGGAGGTGAGCGAGGGTGGGAGTGATGTGGTCGCGTATCCTGGTGCGGGACAGTACACGAGCTGCAGAGTTCTGAATGACCTGCAGCTTGTGGAGGGAGGTGCCGGGAAGGCCGGCGAGGAGAGAGTTCCCATAGTCCAGCCTTGAGGTGATAAAGGCGTGGACCAGAGTTTCAGCAGCGTGAGGGGTGAGGTAGTGCCGTAGTCTGGCGATGTTCCGGAGGTGATGGAAGGCGGTGCCAGTTGTGGCGCAGATGTGGGGAAGAAAGGACAGCTCAGGGTCGAACAGAACCTCGAGGTTCCTGACTGGCTTTGAGAGGTGGAGAGTGCAGCCTTGGATGCTGACGCTGTCAGCGCCTGAGGTGCGGAGGCGCTGACGTGAGCCAATCAGGAGGGCCTCAGTTTTGCGCACGTTGAGCTGAAGAAAGTTGTCTCTCGTCCAGGACTCGATGTCGGACAGGCAGCTGTCAGGACATCGGTGGTCATGGAGTTGAGGGTAGAGGAGGAAAGGTAGAGTTGGGTGTCATCCGCATACATGTGGAAGTTAACCCCATGTCTGCAGATGATGTCACCAAGGGGGAGCATATAGAGGGTGAAGAGGAGGGGACCGAGGACAGAGCCCTGAGGGACACCGCACAAAACAGTGCGGGGGCTGGAGGAAAAGGCAGAGGGAGCCATGGTCGCAGATGGTCAGGATGTCATTAGTGACCTTGACCAGGGCGGTTTCCGTGCTATGGGCAGCACGTAAACCCAACTGGAGGGGTTCAAAAAGTGAATGGGTGGAGAGGAAAGAGCGCAGCTGGGAGGCGACGACTCTTTCGAGAACCTTGGACAGGAAGGGGAGGTTGGAGATGGGCCGGTAGCTTGATAGCTGCGACGCATCAAGGGAGAGTTTTTTTAGTGTGGGAGTGATGGTGGCAGCTTTGAGGGGAATGGGAACAGAGCCAGAGGAGAGGGACAGATTAATGGTGTCTGTGAGAAGTGGGGCAAGGAGGTGGATCTGGGAGATAAGGAGTGGAGTGGGGATGGGATCCAGGGAGCAGGTGGTGGGTTTCAAGGACAGGATGAGGTTGGTGACAGAGGGTGGGAAAACGGGTTCGAAGGTGTGTAGGGGAGGATGGGTAGGAGTCGGAGTGTGGGAGGGAAGGGGTGGGTGGTGGGTGGAAGTTGGAGCGGCAGTGACCGAGGAGCGGATTCCCTTGATTTTGGATTCAAGGAAATCCAGCATCTCCTCGCAGTGAAGGTTGGAGGAGATGACCTGCGCGGGGTGGCGGGGGGGATGGAGGAGTCGGGATGTGGTAGAGAACAGTAGCCTGGGGTTGTTCTTCGCCTCCAGGGTTATCCTGGAGTAGAGGCTATAGTGGAGCGGTAGATTTTGAGGAGGTCCAGCCAGATTTGCCGGTGGACAATGAGGCCAGATTTGAGGCAGGTGCGTTCAGTGGAGGTGGTGAAGGAGATGAAGTGGTGATCGGAGATGGCCTTATCAGTAATGGTGACATCTGAGACTCTGAGGCCCCGAGTGATCACCAAATTGAGTGGGTGGCCGTGAACGTGAGTGGCGGAGTTGCTGTGGAGGGAGAGGTTGAGCGAGGAGAGGAGGGAGAAGTCCGAGGAGGTGGAGCAGGAGAAGGTGAAGTGCAGGTTGAAGTCGCCCAGGATGATGAGGCGATCAGAGCAGAGGCAGAGAGATGTTAGGAGGGTAGAAATGTCGGGCGTGAAGGCGTGAGAATACGAGCGTGAGGGAACTCTGTTCTGATACACCCAGAAGTAGATGCAGTCAGAGCAATATTCCTGCAGGTCAGTGTACCTCACATCCTGCTACCAAGAATCGTTATTTGTGACTTCTAGTTGTGAACATTGCATTTTGGATTTCAGTGTGGCTGACTGCTCACTAGAAACTGGAACAGACAGAATTAATGTTAGTCGATTGGCAGATCGCTTCCCGGGGGTAATAATCCCTTAAAAATAATAATAATTTGGTCACTCAATCTACGACCATTTGTGGGACGCTGCTGTGTGCAATTGGCTGCCACGTTTCATCCACAAAATACAGTCAATTCACTTTACAATATATTCTGTGAAGTGCTTTGAGACATCTCAACGACGTGATAAAGCGCTATATCAAATGCAAAGATTATTATTATCATTATTATAACGTGAAAACCTGCAGATGCTGGAAATATGAATAAAAGCAGAAAATTACGGACATATCTAGAAGGGGAATTAGCACCTGACAAGTAAAATTTGTGTTCATCAGCATGGATTATTTTTTATACAGCTGATTTGCATCCAGATGGAAAGTTCACTATAGAAACTGCAAATACGTTTTAAAAAAATGCCAAAAGACTGGGTTGAAATACATTTAGAAAGTATTAATACAAGCTCACCTCTTCGTCATCGGAGGAATGCCTCAAGAGAGAAGAAATGCTTGGTTGTAGCAACTGTGGGAAATAGTGTTACAAACAATGATCAAACTTCAAGTGAATGTAAAGTCTAGATTATCATTTTTTTTATTGGGTCCCAATTATTTTGCTAACTACACCAGGAATAGTATTGTTCTATTTTCCCCCAACCTATGCAGCTCTGCAACAACTTGCATTTATATAGTACCTTTCAATTGCCAGAGGCTAAGTGGACAAAGCACCAGGAACACAAGAGAACCCAGAGGTAGGCTGGGGCAAGCTCAGATGTTCATTTAAAATACAACAACTTGTATTGATAAAGTACCCTTCACGCAGGATAGCATCATGTAGCACTGCACAGAGGCAGGGAGAATTGGGAGGTGAACATAGGCCCAGTTGAAGAGGTAGGTCTTAAGACAGGAATTTAAGCATAAAGAAGGAATGAGGCAGAGGGATTGAGGCAGGGAGTTCCAGAGGTTAGTGGCATGTATGGCTCAAGGTGGTGTGGAAGGATCAGAAGGAAGCACAGCATGACTGAGCCAGTTGAGCGAAGGGCAGGCAGAGGAGTGGTTGGTTTGAGTAGGTCAGAGAGGTAGGGAAGTGCTAGAGCATGAAGAGAATTTGAAGGTGAGGATCTTGAAATCGATCCTTTCAGATACAGGGAGCCAGTGGAGCCTGGCAAGGACTGGAGTGAGGAGTATGCAGAGTTTGGTACAGTGAGGATGTAGGTGGCAGAATTTTGGATGTGCTGGACCTTGTGGAGGATGGAACTGGGGAGAAAAGTGAGGAATGCCTTTGAGTTCTGCATTCTATTACAATACCAACATACAGTATATATTGACAATATTTAGTTTAATTCGATGTGTACATTTTGACTTCACATTTTGTCAGTAAGATTTTGTAATATTAAGCTTATTCCTGAAAATCAGGAACCCTAATATCTGCCACTTTCACAAAAGCATAGCAAATATTTTTTGTACCTTTTTTAATCACACATGCCTGTGTTATTTATCTAGGGCTGCTCTAAAAACAAAGATTTAAACTATTAATCCTGTTTGTTATTTGGGATTATATTCATAGGCAGACTTTGTTACACCCAAACCAATTTGTGAAGATACAGCAAAGCCTTTCAGCAAAAATTAATCCTTACATTTGTTATGTGCCTTTCACATTAGGAGGATGTCTCAAAATACTTCACTGGATACACTGTAAAGGGTAGTGATTGTTTTATAGACAGGGTAGAATTGACACCAGCCAATTTTGCACGGCAGTGTCCCAAAACAGCCACAAAGTGAATGACGAATTTCATCTGAGTAATTGTTGGTTATCTGAGGGACTGTTGGCCAGGACACTGGGAGAAACTCCCTTCTCTTTTCAAACAATGCCATGGATATTTATTATCCACCTGGACAGGCAGATAAGACCTCAGTTTAACCTCATCAGAAGAAATGAACCTCCAACAATGCAGCACACCTCAAGCTGCTGCACTCACCTACAAACACAAACATTACACTTTATTGTAAATCATGTGAAGCCCTTTGAGATATTTTGATGATGTGATAAGGCGCTATATGAAAGGCAAGGAATATTATTTACAATACATTATACATTTATAGCGCCTTTCATGTTGGAAGGATGTCTCAAAACATTTGACACTGGGGATGGGAGCCGAAAAGACTGGGGAGGGGAAAGATTACTGAAGGTGCCTCAAAGAGGTACGTCTTGAATCAGGCCTTGAACAAAAAATTTCAACCCCCAATTCCCACTTTTACTTATTTTGGGTACTATTCTCTATTAAGCAATTCCCTCTGCTGGTTTGCACTGCTGGTGACTTGACACTCAACAATGAACCTGTTCTAATCAGCAGATAAATCTTTCCATTCCCCAAGAGAACCATCTAAGTGATGTGCTTTATCTACTGGCCAAGATCTGAGTGACAGGGAATCTCCACAGCCAGCCTTGAACGTGTAGCTTGTAGCTTGATGTCCTGCACAGGTTGACCCAGGAAAGTCCAGGCCCGCTCACTCATCCATTAACATCACTGTTTTCTTTTAATGTGGTCAGTGGGATTTGAAATATCCAGGAAATAGCACAAGGTTCAATAATACATACCTTTACTTTTATAGTGCTCTGTGGCAGGGCTGGATATTGCAGGAACACTTCCAGTTGCATTTTTGTAAGAGGCGTTGTCACAGGTTGGACACATTGACGACAGTAAAGGGATTTTCTGTAACATGAACAATAGGACCTTCAGAATAATAATAATAATCCTTGCATTTGATATAACGCTTTTCACGTCTTCTCGACTTCTCAAAGCGCTTCACAGAATATGCTGTTAAGTGAATTGACTGTATATTTCTGGGCGAAATGCGGCAGCCAATTGCGCATAGCAGCGTCCCACAAACAGTCGTGGATTGAGTGACCAAACTATAATTATTTTGAAGGGATTATTATCCCCGGAAAGCGATCCGCCAATCGACTAACAAGTGAGTTCCTACTTACTACTAGATAAACAGAGGCGTGCGAGCAGCCCAAGCTTACTTACAGGTCCAGGTATAGAAAAATGATGGGAGCTTGTTTGTCACTTTAATGGGTTTGGTAGCTCAGACTATTGGTAGAAACACATGTGACAGAGTGGCAGGAATAACGTTTAAGCCCTAATTCTCTTCAAAGCAAGTTCCTGACTTTAGTTGGTTTCTGACTAGCTGCTCTCTCCAGCTGCCAGCATACCAGGTGCTTCACTACTGGATGGGAAAGTTAGACAGGAAGCCACCTGGCAATAGTCTCTCTAGCACATTACCAAATAACCAGACATTGAGAAGTGCCTGGGAATGAGTAACCTGCCCACACATAGCTCCTGCTAACCAGCTACTGTAAGCGGGGTTCCTTGGAGCTGAACTGGCTCGATGGTGACATGCCTGGCAACGGTAGTTCCTGAGCCAGGTGGGTCAGTAGTATTCCAGGGCACTGCTGATGACTGCACAGCCAGCCTGGCACATCGGCAGGATCTGGAAGGACAGACCAGTCACTGGGGGGGTGGGAGTCATCCCACTCAGCTCCTGTTCACACTGCAAGCAAAAGCCCTAATGGGTAGGGTGGTCCTAGCTGGACAAGCAGTGGGAAAGCTTGCCGGACAGCAATACCAACGGCAAGCTATGCGGTTTTAGCTGGTTAGACTCCAGCAGTACCCCAACGCACACTCTGGGGTCACAAAGTCCTGGCTCTTGCCAACCTGCACAAAATACTTTCCGGAATTAGGTAAGCAGGATGCATCCCTCCAGGGAGAGAGTGCGCATTTCATTCCAACAATCTATCTCTGGGATTTTCATGTGTAGGTGGGATACATGGAAATCTCAGCTTGGTTTGGATACGCCCTTGCCTCCTTCAAGGCATGCCTCAAGATCCTCCTCTTCGACTGTGCCTTTAGCCACCCTCCTACCTACTCGGTCCTCCACTCTCCCTGATCCCAACAGTTTGTTAAAAGTATATCTAAAAACACAAGTAATGTTTTATTTATATTTATTCACACGAGTTCAACTATTAAAATGACGAGTTTTGTAGTTCATCAGTTATAAAACATTATTAGATATTTCGGTCTTTTTTGGAAAAAAAGGTCTAGCAATTGTGGGTTCTTTTACCTTCTTAGTTTGTATCCCTTTTTTCCTCCCTTTCCACACTATTTTAACCCACTCACAAATGTCATGGTACAGGTACATTGATACTGGAAGCTCTGAAACTCCTGTTCAGAAGCCACAAGGGAGGTAATGCAGTAATGGATTATGTGGAAAAAGGATTGAGGACATGTATTAACAGTTACACAAATCATTAAGGAACTCCTACAAAGATACATAAATGTTAGTTGCAATTTTAGTATTAGTATTCTTGGGAAACTTTTTGCCAAATCATTTGATAAAACCAACAACATCAAAATTTACATTGCACCTTTCACGTTGGGAGGACATTCCAAGGCTCTTTCAGTCAAAAGTTTGCACTAGTGATGTGAGTTGGATTCAGGATGGGCCGGTGGAAAAGATAATCGAAGGAGCAGTCAAAGAGGAAGGTCTTGAGACACACCTTCAAGGAGGCGAGGTATGGGACTCTTGGGTGGAGTTCCAGAGAGCAGGAGCAGAGGCTGAATGAAGGCTTTAAAGGAGCAGTAATCTAATCATTGCTCATTTTCGGGCTGCTTTACTTCATATGCTGTGAGCAGACAAAATATCCTGAATCCACTCAGAGTCAAATATTCAAAATAAAGAGACCGGCGGAATACTGAGTAGCTGGCAGGATATTTTGTAACATTTAAAAGGAACACAATAGCTCCACGTGTATACGTGACACATAAAACACAAACATTCAAATAAATTTCAAGAGCCGGTGTGAAGTAACCAGGACAAACCTATAGTCAGGAGCCATCAGGGATGCTTTGGCATTGAAGCTGTTCTGAGAACTGAGTCGTCCCATAAAACTGCCCAACTGAGCCACCATTGCCTTTAAACAGCACAAATTCCATGCAGGAGTTTTATATTTATAGGTAGCAAATGTTGATAGACAGAGAATTTCATATCAGATGACTATTTCCCTGTGATATGCACTTAAAGAAAATAAGCCTTTGCTACATTTCAAATCAGATAGTAAAACACAACTTCAGTTTAAATCATGTATGATTAAAATTTTAATTTCCGACAAGCAGCCCGCCAGACAAATACTGTATATAAAAAACCTTAAAAAACTTTTAATCAGGAGCCATTAGAAGTAAAAAGTATAAGTAATAACATAGATCAGTCATGCAAGTTGGGGTTCAATGGTTGCTCAAATTGTAAAGATTAATTTCTCCATTCTGCACAATATTAGCCAGTCAATGGATTATTACTAAGGGAGTTTCACATGGCAGAGCGGGGAATAGGTTTGTCATGGCAGGAATGATTGTCAGATGCTGAGGGAATGGCATTCTCCTACAAACACCAATTAAATGAGCAGCTGATTAATTTGAAAATTGGGTGAATTTGGATGAGATGGGGATATTGATCAGACCAGGAGATATTTCCTATTCCCTATAAGGTATTCAATATGGCAGAATATCACATTACAGCATCAACATCCAGAACAGAGTTTGATGAGTAGTGAATGTTTTCATGCAGCCAAACTTAGCAGCATGTCTGCACCAATAACAACCTATAAACAACAAACCCCCCAATAAATATAATTTGTTGCGGGTGTAATTGGATGAAGGAGGAATATTGCCCAGGAAACAAATATGACAAGGAACTGAAAGGAAATTTAAGAATTGGAAAAGAGTAAAAGTGTGTGTGTGTGTGTGGGGGGGGTGAAGAAGCTAGGCAGAGAAGGTGGGTACAGAATGCTGGCCAATACCTACATCCAGAGGGACCCCAGATTAGGCACAATTACACCAAACTTTCTGTTTTTCTTTCTGTAGTCTCTTGGCTGGTAATATGTAGCCATTCTCTTCAATTGGACATAACTGTGCTCTCTCCCTCTCTCTCTCTCTCACACACACACACAGAGTGTCTCTCAAGGCCAGATGTCTCACAGTCTCGAACCACGTGAATTAGTTTACAAGCTTTCCCTATTCAAGTTTTGCCAATGGCTTCCATCCAATCAGTTACTGTCACCAACATTTCCTTTACGCTCGAGCTTTTCCATATGGTTTAGATCACGTCACAGGAAGGGGGAGGAGGTGTCACAAGATCATGACGCCAAACGAGAGCTGCTTGAACATCACTTTTTATTTGGGTCTAATATTCCTGTGTTTATTAAATATTTTACAACCGTTCCCTCTGCGTCATGACAAAAATGTCTGGAACAAGCATTTTCAAAGTAGTGTAAAGACAGAAATCTCAAAACAAAATTTATGTAGGTTTTTCTTCTCAGTTAACCTCAGTTATATTTTTTTATACTGACCTTTCTCCAGTTTTCTTTTCCAGTTTTTCACTTCCACATCTGTTGCAAACTATCCAGGAAAAAGCTGTAGTCTCGTCCACCCCAACCACAGTCCCTGAAAAACAGAATTAATCTTGTAACTCTTGCTTATACATGTGCCACTGTCTCAAAATGAACACCATTGAAGAGTTGGTCTAAATAGAGCCACATCATTAAAGGCAGCACTGCTGAAATGAATTAAAGTTCATGCAGTTTAAAGAGCAAATATCATAACCTGCTTCACCTTTATCATAATCTCTTTCGCCTTTATTAAATATTTCATTAAAAAAAACAAATATCTTAACACGGTGAATAATGATGAACTGAATTAGATAATGTAATGGGTCAGAGCAGAGTTCTTGGAGGCTGGCGTGACATTCAGAGTTCCTTGCATGAGAAGCACTTTATGTCTGAGGGGCCTTTAGGTGGGCAAGGAGCCACTGAGGCGCTGCCATTTTCCTGACAAACCCTTTTTAAACAGGGAATCAATCTCACTTGTGCTCAATCATTTTATTCAAAGCTTGCCATATTTCTGTTCATGTGTTTTTGTTAAGTAATATTTAAAATGTTGTCAGCTTCCAAATTGGAAATATAGTACAAACTTTCCTGGAGTGGGTGGCCTCTAGGCAGGTCCAAACCCCATCCCCATCTCAATGGAGCTTCTCTGAGTTGAAGCCATTTGAGCTTTTTTGAAATGGAGGCAGGCATCAAGGTAATGTACAAAGTCCAGGATTCTTCATCACAAGGATTTCCCTTCTTTTTGTCTAGGCAGAGTACCTTAAAGAGAAAGGAGTTCCCCTTGGCGACCCTTCCTCGAGAGAAGGGGAGACATGAAAGAGAGGAGGCAAGAGACAGAGGGGGAAGACAAGAAGAGACAAGAGACTGAGAGGTGGGGAGACAGCAGAGAGGGAAACAAGGGAGAGAGAGAGACGGGGGGAGACAAGCGGGAAAAAGTGAGGGAGCCGAGAAAGAGAGAGGGGAGAAAAGAAAGCTAAAGAGAGGCAGACCATCTCACCTTGTCTCAGATTGTCTCTTTCACTCTCTCTCTTGGTTCCCGCCCCACACCTCTCTCCGCTAACTGTGCTCCAACAGTCACTGATGACATTACACCTGGCTTTAGGCCAAGAGAGAATTTTTTAAAAAGGGGCTTTTTGCACTTTATTTGAGCTTTTTCTGGGTGCACTTTAAAGAGCTAAATGTCCCAAAAATGAGACAGGGATACACTTACCTTGTACAGTGCACAGTGAGCACATTTTGGTTGCAATGCTGAGTTCGTCAAGTGTAACAGGTCCAGTCACTTGGGAAAACTCTTGCTCTCTACTACTGTCAAGCACAGAGTTGTAGAGTGAAAGGACAGTTCCTTCTGCACACACAATATTATCTGCAGAACAAAAGAACAGCTCTCAAATTACAACAAACATTACAGATAGATAAACCAGACATTTCTGGGAAGGCATCTAGAGGGAGATTACTTGCCTTGTATTACGGAGCTATGTCACTTACTGTATGGGGCTACTTAACTCCAATTGTTATGACATAATATTCTTCATTTGTTTAACAACAGTCAGAAATGGTACGACTACATCCCATCTCCCAAGCCATGCATGACAAAAACAAGACACACAGGTTTGTTTGGCCTGCAATGCAGACGAGGGTCAAATCTTCCTCTTCAGTGGATCAGAAAGTGGATCTCCTTATCAATCAAATGCTAATCAGAATCTGCTTCCACTGTGGTTTTCAGGCATCTGAAGCCCAGCAACATGCATCCCACCAATTAAGGCAAACTGCAACTGCCCAACTGCAACCCACATCCTACCAAATCTTTGCAATTGTTTACATTTCTTTACTGCACAGGCCAGCGACTGGGCATTACACAGATTTGAGAAGGGTTTGTTTATCGGTACAGTATAATCATTCTTCATTGTTTTCCAATCTGGATAGAATCTTTAGGGGGCCCATCCTTAATGAAGGGTTCAAGATGAATTTTGTGTTGTGTTTCTACATTTAAAACAAATCCAGACTATTACTGATTTGTTTCGAGTCCCCAGCTCAAAGCACCTTTTTCAAGTGAATGGAGCTGTTCTAGTAAAACCCAAATCAAATGTTAGTTGGTTTGTTTAAGCGCTTTGAGACGCTACTCTGCGTGAAGGGCTCTATAAGTACAAATTGGTGTTGTTGTTTCTCACTGTGTACAACACCAACTTGCACTTACATAGCACCCTCCATGCAGGGTAGCGTCTCTGAGCGCTTAACAGTGATGGAGCCTGACTCCGATCTGGGGGGAGGGGGGAGGTAGTGTAAGAACCGTCGAACAGGAAAGTCTTCAGGCGGGACTTGAAAGAGGGGAGAGAGGTGGCAAGGTGGAGGGATTGTGGGAGAGTGTTCCAGAGTTTTGCGGCGTAGTGGCTGAAAGCACAACCTCCAATGGTGGGGTGGAGGTTGCGAGGGATGAGCAGGAGGCCAGTGCCAGTCGAGCGGAGGCACCTGGTGGTGGATTGGGGAGTGAGGAGGTCGGAGAGGTAGGGAGGTGTCAGGGAGTGAATGGATTTGAACAAGAGAATGAGGATCTTGAAGTCGATCGTTTCGGTGATGGGGAGCCTGTGGAGCCTGGCCAAAATTGGTGAGATGTGGGTACGGAGTTTGGTCCGGGTCAGTATGTGGGCGCAGAGTTTTGAATGAGCTGGTGTACAAATGAAACAAATGTACAAATGGTGTCCAAAACAAATGGTGTGAGGCAGCAATAAACAAGGCAACCACAAAGCTAACAACATTGCTTCAGGTCAGTTCAGAGCCCCCGAATTCAAGCTCAAACTGTAAAAAGGTCTCATCGGGCTAATCTGGAGAACTGTGTGTACAGTACAGTGATCACAAAACAAGTGTGTGTGGGGGGTATAGAGGAGGGGCTAGCCAGGCCCTAGAAGTAGTGAAGAGGAGAGCAATGAGACTCACAAGAACAATTAGATAAGTTCGGGCTGTTCAGCTTCGCAGAGACATCTGAGAAGGGAGCTTGTAAAAGCTTATAAGATGTTATACAACACTGAGAAAGTAAACCCAGAATAATCCTCTCAGAGATAGCAAGGCAGCCACCCTTGATTCCAGGACCACTGCTGTCCTCACAGACTGCCTGTCGGGCATCAAGTCCTGGATGAGAGCTAACTTCCTGCAGGTTGAATTTCAACAAGACAGAGGCCCTCCTGCTTGGCTCCTGTCATCACCTCCATACCTCAGGCACTGGCAGAATCTCCGTCCATGGATGCACTCTACATCTCACGGAGCCAAGACAAAACCTCGATGTCCTGTTCGAACTCATCCATGTCGTGACCCGCTTCACCTTTCCCCACCACAGGCTGCCGAGACCCTCATACACGCATTCATAACATCCAGGCTCGACTACGCAAACTCCCTGCTTGGCAAACTCTGCGCCTCCCCAACTCCTCCCTCCACAGGCTGCAGATCATCCAGAACTCTGCAGCCCGTGTCCTCTCCCTCACCAGGCACTGCAGCCTTATGACCCCCATCCTCGCCTGACTCCACTGGCTTCCCATCACACAGAGGATACAGATCAAGATCCTGGTCCTCACCTTCAAAGCCCTCCATGGCCTTGCTCCCCCTATCACTGCAACCTTCTATCCCCCTACCAACCTGCCTGCTCCCTCCGCTAAGCAGGCTTCAGCCTGCTTCATGTCCCCCGCCTCATACGCCCCATTAGTGGCATCCTACCTTTCCAGAATACACTAATAAAGCAAGTCTAACCTTTTTCTACAATAGCATCCTTGAATAAGAGGGTGTGGGATGATCCATCATTCAGTTCTTTAGTAACTTCGGCACACAATACACAAAATGAGGTTACACAGACTGGCAGGCTTCTGGGAACCAGGGGATCATGGGTTGAGGATTGTAGTGTTGAATCAGTCACAAACACCCAATTTTCTCCGCTGATTTGTTGATTGGCAGTTTGAGCCTGAAAATAAATAGTGCAATATTCAGAAACAGGTTTTAACATGTGCATCGTACAGTTATTAGTTCATGAGCAGAAAGAAAGCTTTTCTACATAGCATGTATGAAATAGTGTTGGAGACAGAAACAACAAAAAATTGATCAATAACAACAACTTGAACTTATACAGCTCCCGACATGCAGGGTAGAGTCTTAGAGCGCTTACCAATGGCAGAGCCTGTGTGGGGGGGGGGGGGGGGGGGGGAGATGACCGTAAGCACGGCTGAAAAGGAAGGTATTCAGGCAGGAATTGAAAAAGGGAAGAGAGTGGACAAGGCCGAGGGATTGAGGGAAAGTGTTTCACAGTTTCATGGCTCGACCTCTAATGGTGGAGCAGAGAGTGCGAGGGACAAGCAGGAGGCCGGAGCCAGTCGAGTGGAGGCGCTGGGTAGTGGATTGGAGAGTGACGAGGTCGGAGAGGTAGGGAGGTGTCAGGGAGTGAATGGATTTGAACACAAGTGTGAAGATCTCAAAGTCAATCTGTTCGGTGATGGGGAGTCAGTGGAGCCTGGCCAGAACTGGTGAGATGTGGGTAAGGAGTTTGGTCTGGGTAAGCATGCGGGCAGCAGAGTTCTGAATGAGCTGGATTTTTTGCATAGTGGAGCTGGAGTACCGGCAAGGAGTGTATTTGAATAATCCATTTATGATTTCAGTAATTCATTTATGGAGTGGCCCTGAACCCACGACAGTGAATTTATTTGTTAAAATTTGTTTAAGTTATGTATGTTTCCCCGGCCTCTCAAGGTTGCTCTCTCTCTCGCTCAGCCAGCTCCCGAGCACTGTGGACACCACATCTGAGCATGCATGTCCAATCTCTGCCAAGCGCCTGCATCTGACACAGGATAGGAGGTCATAGTGCAGCCTTCCAATAGACCATAGGCCTCTGTGATCCATGTCAGCATCCATGCCCAACCTTGGCTGAGCATCTGTGACTGGTGTGGGCACTCAGTGGAAGTTGGGTGGGAATGCTCAGATGCATCGCTGAGGCTTCTGCATAAAGGTCTGCACTGTGGACTCCTGCCCTAGCTTTCGCTGAGGCCTCTGTTTATTGGAGGGCCGTGCTATGGCCTCTGTTCCTATCCTGTCCTGCTCTATCCTGGGATAGGATGGGGCACAAGACCATGGAGCGAATTTCCAATAGACCAGAGGCCTCTGCGATGCATCTGAGCATGTGAGCCCAACCACCACTGAACACCCGCACCAGTTCCAGGTTAGGGCAGGAGGCCCCCGGGATGCAAGACACATCATGTAGGATGAGTTATCCAATCAATTTTACATTGATTGTACTTACAAAAAATTCTAGAATGGAACAAGTTGCATGTTAAGCAGAATGACAAGCAAAGGGTGTCCCTTATTAATATTTTGCATGGGAACCAGTTAAGCCGGGACAAGTTATCCAGAGTTTACCCTAGTTTACTGAACATTTATTGCCTCCTATTGTGCTTTCACAAATGCTTCCCTTTATTTCAGTGAGAGAATACATACATTATTATGATGAAGCTGAAATAAAATAGTCAATTCACTTTACTGTATACTCTGTGAAGCGCTTTGAGACATCTCGAAGACGTGATAAGACACTATATCAAATGCAAGGATTATTATTATTATTTAATATCCACACAAAGAAATTGCCTCAGCCTTGTTACTTCAGAATGTTACCATCTACACGTATTTTAGAGGAGAACAAAGTTTAGGTCCCACTTACTTTGGATATTGTATTAACACTTACATGTACTTTCATAATTGGCTGCAAAATAGTTACATAGAATTACATAGAATGTTACAGCACAGAAACCAATCACAGAAACCAATCATTGGGACCGACTTGTCCATGCTGGTGATGTACTCCCTGTGAGCTTCTACTCCTCTTAATCCCTTCTTCCACACCCCTCTATTCCCTTCTCCATTATTCCCATTAGTTGAAAGGATGGGGTGCATGTAGGCATTAAATATGTTACAAGTCCAGAAAACAGACAGTGGTTGTTTTTGAGTAGTCATAGAATCATAGAATATGACAGCACAGAAGGAGACCATTTGGCCCATCGTGCCTGCGCCGGCTCTTTGGAAGAGCTACCTACTCAGTCCCACTCTCCCACTCTTTCCCATTATGCTTGCAAATTTTTCTTTCTCAAGTACCTATCAAATTCACTTTTGAAAGTTGTTTTTGAATCTGTTTCCACCACCCTTTCAGGCAGTGCATTCCAGACCATGACAACTCTCTGTGTAAAAAAAACTTCTCCTCATCTCCCTTCTGGTATTTTTGCCAATTATCTTGAATCTATCTACCCTGGTTACTGACCCAGCTGCCAGTGGAAACAGTTTCTCCTTATCTACTCTATCAAAACCCCTCATAATTTTGAACATCTCTATTAAATCTCCCCTTAACCTTCTCTGATCTAAGGAGAACAATCCCAGCTTTAGTCTCCACATAACTAAAATCCCTTATCCCTGGTACTCTCTCTTCTGGTAAATCTCTTCTGCACCCTTTCCAATTGGACACAATACTCTAGCTGAGGCCTAACCAGTGACTTATAAAGATTTAGCAGAACTTCCTTGCTTTTTTTACTCTATGCATCTATTTATAAAGCAAATGATTCAATTTGCTTTTTTAACAGCTCTATCAACCTGTCATGCCACCTTCAAAGACCTGTGTATGTGAACCCCCATGTCTCTATGCTCCTATACCCCCTTTAAAACTGTACTGTACTTGTCAAGTGGCTATTCTTTATAAGGAAGTGAGCTAAGTATGCTATGTGCGCAGGATGTAGAAGGATTAAGTGACTCATAACCCAATCCTGCCTACATCCTACAAACGTTTTCAGAATAGAGGTTTGTCTAGAATTCTTCTTTGTTACTACCACCAGGAAAGGGATTTGTGGCTGCAAACACAGGGGCTAGTTAAACTATGTGGGGCAAAGCAAGTAGGGGCTTACATATTGGCGGGTCAGGCTCAAGGGGCCGAATGGCCTACTCCTGCTCCTATTTCTTATGCTCTTATTTACTCAGAGGCACAGACTTTGTATCAATTTGTTTTTAAGGGCAATTAAATATACATTTGAAGTTAAAAAAACTCCAAGATGTAAATATTTAGAACTGTCCCAGCACACTGCATTCTGGGCTGGCCCATAGAGATACCATGAAACCCCAAAATAGGCAATAGTTCTGGAATGGTTCTTAGCACAAATTGGTAGTTTAATCTATTGTTGTGGATCCCATCTCTAAGTTGGATCAAGCCTCGGGAAACAAGTGCTTTGAGACATTTTTAAGTGATAAGCACCATATCAAATGCAAGGGATTATTATTAATAAATCTTTAATATTATTATTCATTGATATGAGAAATAAATCATCTATTCACTGAAATTAAATTTGTCATTTTTGATTTTACTTCCAGCAACAGATAAGCTAATCTGTTACTGTTTACCTGTTCATACCTGCAACCTTCTGTAGATGACTTCTGCGCTGAAACTGCACCGATGGCTTTCAGGAATATACTAAAATTAAGTATAAAACGATATTAAAAGTTAACTCATGAAATACAATGGACATTACTTAAAATATTTAAATATATAGGCATTCTCTGCATGATGTATAGTTATATTTTAACATTAAATTATTTTTGAAGATGTAACAATGATCACAACTTTCATATAAAGCGCCTTTCACATCTTAAAAGTGCTTATTTGAGATGTCCTCCTAACATTTCCAGACTGGTTTACTGGGGACCCAAGCTGGGGGGTTAATGAGAGAAGAGGAGCTGAGGAGAAGGTGTGGAAACGCGACCGAAAGCATAATAGAAAAGCTAGGCCTTAAGGCGAGCTTTAAAGGTGGGGAGGGAGGGGTGAGGTGGAGGTACTCTGGAATGGAGTTCCAGAGAGGCAGAAAGGCTGAAATTCCTCCCACCAATGGATCAGGTCAGTTGGGTTGCAGGAAGATGCAGGATAGGGAGAGGCGGTGAGGGATTTGAACATGAGATTGACAATCTTGAATTTGATCCTCTCCTCAGCTCCCCTTCTCTCATAACCCCCCCACCCACCCCATCATGGGTTCCCAGTCAACCAGTGCGGAGATCCACTTGGCTTGTGTAACCAAACAGGGATTGGGATAATGGACTCCCAGAGCCTGCTGCAGAATTCTGGATGGTTTGTAGCTCGTGTAGGGAGGAGCTGAGAATTCAGAGAAGCATGCCATTGTAATAATTAAGCCTGGATGTGATGAAGGCTAGACCCCGTTGACATGATTCTTATTCAGAATTAAAAGTTTGAAATTGTATAAGCTAAATAATGAGCATTATATTGCATTTATAATTTTTAAAATTGCCATTTCAACTTTTATCTCTCTCTTTTCCAAATATGCCTCTTGCACTCAGACTATCCTGCCTGGCAGGGGTGTTTACATCATGGAAATTATAAGCACAGAGGGAGGTCATATAAGCCTATGTTAGTGTTAACTCCCCAATTATGCTGTCTAATGGCAATTATGTTTTCCTATGTTTTTCTATTTAATTGCCCAACTTTTTCCAATGTCCTCACCAGTTTTATGAATGAGGAACCAGGTCCTAGGATAACAAGCATGGGTTAATTTCTCCACACCCATGGGTGCAGCACCAGTTTACCTTGTGCTGAACCTGGTAAACCAGCCAAATTCAGTTGCTTGTTGTGAGCCTGAATGTGAATTTTCAGTGGAGACTGGGCTGGACTCTCCCAGTGCTTGGCACAGAACAAGAATGTGCTTCATAGGGCATTTATACTAGAATCTGCAACAAATCAAAGGCACATGGACTGGAACAACATCAACACCCCAAAAACCTTGCCAATATTGATACTGGAAACTCGCCATCAGTTAAGCCCTACATACAAGCTTAAAATCATTTTACATGTTCATAATATCTCCAGTTACCTGAAGAATGTGCTCTAAATTGTGCCATGCTGTTGGTCGATAGAGGTCAGATCCATTTTCCTCCTGAAGCAGCTCTATTCCTCTCTCCCCTGGACGAGCAGCAAGTACATAGCAGAAACTAGGAGCAGGAAGCAAGGCACCTGAGGGAGAACCTACACTCTGCAAGAAAGTCCAAACTTCAAGTTAGAAATACTGCTACAACAGCAACAAGAAATTGCATTTATATAGTGCCTTTCACATCAGGAGGACAACCCAAGATGCTGGATAGTCTAGGGTGCACCCAAGCTAGGGGTCAGATTCGATAGTTGTGAGGGCGAAGGCACTGGGGTGGGAAGATGATCGAAGGCACGGACTGATAACTATTCAATTAGGTTGAAAATTAGGTGCAACCCTGCCATTGTGTAGCGCTCCATGATGCTATCCTGCATGAAGGACACTATATAAACGCAAGTGGTTGTTACTGAAAATGGTTCTGCATTGCTGAGTATTCTTCCCAGCATTTTTCCATTCATATATCTTTTGAAGCACAGTTGGTAGATTGCTCTGTCCTTGGTTACACTGTGGCCTTGTCTCAGTTGGAAGCCCTCTCACTCTTGGGTTACAAGGTTGTGGGTTTAAGCTCCATTTTGGGATCTGTTCTCATAATCTAAGATGATACTCCAATGCAGTGCTGAGGGTCCTTTAGATGAGATGTTAAACCAAAGTTAAGTCTGCCTTTTCAGGAGGACGTTAAAGATCTCATGACACTATTCGAAAAGAGAAGTTTCCAAGTTAACAATCCCCCAAATAAAGTTGGTCATTTGTTTCATGGATGGTTGTGGAACACTGCTGGGCAAAATTGGGCTGTTGAGTTCACCTATAAACACTCAAACACTCTACTTCACAGTAAATAATAATAATAATAATAATAATAATCCTTGCATTTGATATAGCGCTTTTCACGTCGGGAGGACGTCCCAAAGCGCTTCACAGAACACACTGTAAAGTGAATTGACTGTATATTTGTGGGCGAACGCGGCAGCCAATTGCGCACAGCAATGTCCCACAAACAGTCGTAGATTGAAAATGACCAATTTATTATTGTTTTGGGTTTTGGAGGGATTATTATTAGGCGTGTGGAGTAAGGAAACTTGCCCAAGGTTTCACCCTGCCTGGAATTGAACTCAGGTCTCTAGCTTGCAAAGCGAGTGCTCTGACCATTGAGCTACAGGACTCCACAAATCGTATGGGATGCCCTCCTGACGTGGAAGACACTTTTACCAAATGCAAGTATTATTACTATTATTATCCTTAAGTTGAGACATCCAATCTGCTTGTTCTTCAAGTGGGGCTAAAGACACAGTGACATAATCCAAAGAGTCATTGGATCTGCTGGTCAGCAGTCCTCAAGATAAAATTATTTAACTCATTGCTGCTTGTGTTTAAAATGGTTATCTATTTTGTTGATAAAAAAGGTCACTACACTTGACAGCAATTCCTGCCTAACAACAACCTGCATTTATATAGTGCCCCTCACGCGGCGCAGAGTCTTGGGAGCGCTTAACAATGGCAAAGTCTGGCGCCGAGCCTCCAGTCGTGCTTAGGATCACCGTAAGACAGGTAAATGCTGCTACCGTAAGCACGGTCAAAGAGAAAGGTCGTCAGTTGTGATATAAACGAGGGAAGGAGAGGGCAATACCGAGGGATTGAGGGAGAGAGTTCCAAAATTTCAGGCAAAGTGGCTGTAAAGCACTTTGGGACATTATGACACAATAAGACAATATAGAAATGCAAGTTCTTTTTCTTTACTTTATTTCATTTTATTCAATATTTTATGATCAATTGTATTGTGAATAGGGTGAAAGTAATAATATTAATTTAACTGGTCAATTAGCTAACCAAACATCTGTCAGGCCCACTGGTCCCAGTGCAGCAGAGGCCACAGACTGCAGAGTTCTGGATAGTCTGCAACTTGTGTAAGGGAAAACTGGGGAGGTCCTGCTAGCAGGGTGCTGAATTAGTCAAGCTCGGATGTGATGAAGGTATGAATGAGGGCCCATTACTCGATCAGAAGTAATGTGTTTGGTGCCGCAAACCTGTTTAAAAAGTGCTGTTATGAAATTCGCCCACAAATATACGGTCAATTCACTTTACAGCATATTCTGTGAAGCGCTTTGAGACGTCGCGAAGACGTGAAAAACGCTATATCAAATGCAAGGATTATTATTTTATTATTATTATGCTCAACATTTTAAAAATGACTGGTTTATAGATAATGGCTTATAGTCTGTGTTCACTATGGGTATTAATCTACGCCTCCCTCTGCCAAATTTGCAATCTCTTCAGAATGAGCATGTTACTCGAGTGGTGTTAGAAAATACATTTTTCTAATTATTATTCCAACTGTTATAGAGAAGAGTGTGCAAGATTTTATTTAATTCCAGGACAATGGAATGGAACTGGTGATGAGCTAGGTCAATTTTAAGGAATGAAATTTTTTTTAACGATAATATTATATCTAATCAAAGATAGTAGAGTAAGAGCACAGATAACCATTTGAAAAATTGTTCGTCTCAGATGTACATCATTGTTTTTACAATCTGCTTACAGGTTACGCTAAAATACAAAATAAAGACAAAACATCATGGCGTTTTAATACCCTGGACCAGAGTGCTTGGAATTGAGTCCACACCCAGGATTCTCCGCGTATTTTACAATGTATCAGGTAAAAAATGTCCTGGTTTATATAGAAATCTCAGGCACAGCATGACGAGATATCATTTTGTTTTGAGGCAGGAGTGAAATTTTTGCATTAACCTTCCCCAGGAATGTGCATTATCTTTTTCAGATAAATCATCAAATTTCCGAATTGAAGTTGGGAATATATGGGAGAAATTCCACCTGGATCTAGATTTACTTATTTAGGTAGCATTTCAGGGTGTCCAGAATTTAGCAAATTGAATTCAGTCTTACCTTTGAAGTTACATACAAAAAAGATTTCAGAATTAATAATAACAATAAGTCTTACATTAGATATAGCGACATAGCACATTGTTGAGATATCTCAAAGCACTTCACAGAATATACTCTAAAGTGAATTTGTAATTTATGGGTGAAATTAAGGATCCATTTAAGAATTTGCCAAATTTCAGAAGCTCTGAAATGCTAGTTAAATAAAGTAAATCTAGATCCAAGTTGACTTTCTCCCTGTTAAGTTTAGTAATGCAAGCACTTCAGAAAATATGTTATTTTTTCACTGCTAATTTCACATTTCCACTGAGTGGAATAGAAATTCAGTCTAATTCTATATCCAGTGGAACAAAGTACCATAAAATAGTACAAAAAATTAAGCATCTAGTCCAACCAAGTTTAAAAATTGGAATTACATCACCTCATTTAATAATAAAACCCTCAATACCAGTTTTCTAATAATTGCAAATGTAGTATGGATTGTTGAATGGATCCAGATATAAACTCTGTTGATTCAACATAAGCCAACAATTTCATGTATTTTTGTTTTAGAAGGGGAAAGATGTAGGCACCTTTCCCTGAGAGTGAAGAAGTGACAAAATTATATCTTTCAATGTTAACATTGTCATGGCATAGGTTTAAAACAAACTAATTCATGAGCAAGGTGCATTAATGTTTGCTGAAATATTACCTCTTGGCTGCCTTGGCTTTGACCATGGACTTTTGGTGGAATTAATGGAGGCCACAGACTGTCGATCAAACTGAAGAGTCCTGAAGACCTAAGAAACACAATTTAACTGAGACACATGACCTAAGAAACACAGTTCAACAAGTTCAAATTCAACACATGCAACATCAAAGAATTCACATTAGCTACATGAGACAAAATACTGTAACTTTGTTGTATTATTTTAGCAAGTATAGTGTTTCTAACCAAGTAAGGGAAGGGATCTCATTATTAATAATAATAATAATAATCCTCGCATTTGGTATAATAATAATAATAATAATCCTTGCATTTGATATAGCGCTTTTCACGTCGGGAGGACGTCCCAAAGCGCTTCACAGAACACACTGTAAAGTGAATTGACTGTATATTTGTGGGCGAACGCGGCAGCCAATTGCGCACAGCAATGTCCCACAAACAGTCATATGGATTGAAAATGACCAATTTATTATTGTTTTTTTTTGGAGGGATTATTATTAGGCTCTGTGTGGAGTAAGGAAACTTGCCCAAGGTTTCGCCCTCTGCCTGGAATAGCGGCTTATCAGGTCAGAAGGATATCCACAGGAATTACAGGATAATCCTGGAGGCGAAGAACAACCCCAGGCTTCTGTTCTCTACCACATCCCGACTCCTCCGTTCCTCCTGCCACCCCGCGCAGGTCATCTCCTCCGACCTTCACTGCGAGGAGATGCTGGATTTCCTTGAATCCAAAATCAAGGGAATCCGCTCTGCGGTCACTGCCCCTCCAACTTCCACCCACCCCCCACCCCTTCCCTCCCACACTCCGACTCCTACCCATCCTCCCCTACACACCTTCAAACCCGTTTCCCCACCCTCTGTCACCAAACTCATCCTGTCTTTGAAACCCACCACCTGCTCCCTGGACCCCATCCCCACTCCACTCCTTATCTCCCAGCTCCACCTCCTTGCCCCACTTCTCACAGACACCATTAATCTGTCCCTCTCCTCTGGCTCTGTTCCCATTCCCCTCAAAACTGCCACCATCACTCCCACACTGAAAAAACCCTCCCTTGATGCGTCGCAGCTATCAAGCTACCGGCCCATCTCCAACCTCCCCTTCCTGTCCAAGGTCCTGGACCGAGTTGTCGCCTCCCAGCTGCGCTCTTTCCTCTCCACCCATTCACTTTTTGAACCCCGCCAGTCAGGTTTCCGTGCTGCCCATAGCACAGAAACTGTCCTGGTCAAGGTCACTAATGACATCCTGACCATCTGTGACCAGGGCTCCCTCTGCCTCCTCGTCTTTCTCGACCTATCGGCCGCATTCGATACGGTCGACCACGCTATCCTCCTCCACCGCTTGTCCTCCCACCTCAACCTTCAAGGCCCTGTCCTTGAGTGGTTTAGGTCCGACCTCTCCCACCGTATTCCTTTTGTTTCCACTAACGGCTTTTCCTCCAGTCCCCGCACTGTCTCGTGCGGTGTCCCTCAGGGCTCTGTCCTCGGTCCCCTCCTCTTCACCCTCTATATGCTCCCCCTTGGTGACATCATCCGCAGACATGGGGTTAACTTCCACATGTATGCGGATGACACCCAACTCTACCTTTCCTCCTCTACCCTCAACTCCACGACCACCGATGTCCTGACAGCTGCCTGTCCGACATCGAGTCCTGGACGAGAGACAACTTTCTTCAGCTCAACGTGCGCAAAACTGAGGCCCTCCTGATTGGCTCACGTCAGCGCCTCCGCACCTCAGGCGCTGACACCATCAGCATCCAAGGCTGCACTCTCCACCTCTCAAAGCCAGTCAGGAACCTCGGGGTTCTGTTCGACCCTGAGCTGTCCTTTCTCCCTCATATCCGCGCCACAACTGGCACTGCCTTCCACCACCTCCGGAACATCGCCAGACTACGGCACTACCTCACCCCTCACGCTGCTGAAACTCTGGTCCACGCCTTTGTCACCTCAAGGCTGGACTATGGGAACTCTCTCCTCGCCGGCCTTCCCGGCACCTCCCTCCACAAGCTGCAGGTCATTCAGAACTCTGCAGCTCGTGTACTGTCCCGCACCAGGCTTCGGGACCACATCACTCCCACCCTCGCTCGCCTCCACTGGCTCCCCATCCCCCAGAGGATCGAATTCAAGATCCTCATCCTCATCTACAAGTCCATTCACGGCCTCGCACCCTCCTAACTCTCCGACCTACTATCCCCCTACCTACCTGCCCGTACCCTCCGTTCCTCTGGCTCCGGTCTGCTCCACATCCCCCGCCCCAACCGCCCTACCATCGGTGGCCGGGCCTTCAGCCTCTCAGCCCCTAGGCTCTGGAACTCTATCCCCCAGTGCCTTCGCCGCCTCCTCCCTTTCCTCCTTCAAGGCCGGTCTCAGGACCTTTCTCTTCAGCCTTGCTTTCAGCTCTCCTCTCGACTCTCTACCCCCTCCTCGCTCCCTCCCTTCCCTCCCCTCACCCTGACGATTTCCCCCTGCTCGTGTCCCGACCCAACTGTCCAGCGCCTTGGGACGTCCTCCCGACGTGAAAGGCGCTCTATAAATGCAATCTTGTTGTTGTTGTACGGCATGCCCCGATGTAACATCCCCAGCACACTCCCAGCATTGCACTGGTGCAGTAAATCTTCTAATTTGGATGTAAGCATGCAAGAACGGCATACCCATGAAAGTAGCTGCCAAATTATGGGAAAGTAGGAAATTATTGTTATTGGTGTCATAAGAAGCTTGTTAATTCATTCATTGTAGGTAAACACTCCACACTGCATAATTAAATGGGACTATATTTCGCACAAGTACAGCCAGGCAAAGTATTTCTACTCAGGTTACACTTTTCAGATCACAGGGATCCCTGGTCTCTGATGATACTTTGGGAAGCCTTCATATTTCAGTGTGAAAAGGGCAAGTCCCTTCTCTCTATTGACAGATTTGAAGTCATACAGCTGGCTTTCTTTTCACTCATTGGTTAATCTATGTAATTGAAAAACAAAAAATATAAGCCCCCACCACCCACTCCCTCCTTCACCTTATCTGAGGCCAAAGTTCTCTTCTTCGCATAACAACTTTTGCAATAAGGTACTTTAAAATGGCCCTGACTCTATCTAGACAACCTTCCAAAATAGATAGGAAATCCACAGACAAAATAAAACACTTGAATTGACAGATTCAGGAAATGCCTGCAATATTTTAGACAGAATTAAAGAGGTGAGGATTGCACTGATTGCAATACTGGCTCCATTATCCATAGCCAGATTACATTGTCCATCACCACATCAAAAATAACATTTAAGGAGGCAAAATGATATATATATATATATATATATATGTAATGCACGTATGTAAATATTGGAAGTGCTGAAAATAGACAGCCACCAGCCATTACCAAAGAGAAGAACAAAAGGAAGATTAATCTCAGGAATGTATTAAACTGATCAGATATACAGCCTTAATACTCTATGAAGTGAAGCACTACGAGAACCCGTTCATTTGGATCAACTGATGGCTACTGAATGGAACATGAGAAATAGACCTGGTAGCATGTCAGACCCAGCTGTCCTACCTGTCACTCAACATGCCAGAAGATATTGTGTTTATCCTGACTCAGTGATACCTCCCTGAAACGGTCACCTTTGGTCTCCCAGCAGCTGTAGCATATGGGTACCCAACAATCTGGCCTCTGCATTATCCCCAAATCCTGAGCGTGGATTTATGAAAGGAGCTTCAAGAACACCTCAGCAGCATTGGGTGACTCAGGAGAGTACTTGTCAGCGAGACACGTCTCTCTCCTCATTCACAGCAACAGATGTGCAACTTCTTTAAGGCACTAACATTTCACTTCAGACTCTCACTTTGATGTGAGGAGTGACCCACATGTTCCAAATAGCTTTCTTTATTTAACTCAAACCATTCATTCTCAACTGAATTCCACCTCCAGTTGCTGAAAAGAAAGTTTCAATAAAGTGCAGACCCCAAGACATCTTTATGGTCTTTACAATTTTCCACAATACTTTAACTATGGTATGTCCAATGGTGCAGATCACTATCTTCTTTGCCACTTTTAAATATAATAATAATAATAGTAATAATCCTTGCATTTGATACAGCGCTTTTCACGTCGGGAGGACGTCTCAAAGCGCTTCACAGAACACACTGTAAAGTGAATTAACTGTATATTTGTGGGTGATATTTCCTATGTCCTGAAATGCAAGTAACTGTGAGAGTCTTAAAAGCCATAATAGGGTGATGATTTGCTCCAATATTACTTCTTGCCACATTCATATATAGCATTAACTGTAATACAATGTAGACCATTTAGTGCCAGATGCAGATTCCAAGTTTCTTTCCAAAAAGGTACTTGACGAAAGAATTTCTCATTATATCATCATCTAAATAATAGTAAATAATCCTTACGTTTGGTGTAGCGCCTTTACGACAGGAGAATTTTACAAGATATACTGTAAAGTGTAGGGACTGTGTAGTTGTAGATGAACGATACAACTCGAATGGCAATTTACACACAAAAATGTCCCACAAACATGCACAAAGTGAATAACCAATTTTGTGTGGGGAATTCTTGGCCAAGACGTTGTGGGAAAATTCCTTTTCTTTTCGAATATTGCCATAGGATCTTTAACATTTAATTGAACAGTCAGACGAGCTTCAGTTTAAAGTCTCATTTGGAGGACAGCACCTCCAACAATGCAGCACACCCACACCACTACACTGCAGTGACAGCATAGACTGAATGGATTCCACGTTCCAGCGTGAGGCTTTACACAGAGCTAAGAAGTTTAGCGTTCACTGATATCAATGGAGCACAAGTTACCTATATTTCTAATCCATAGAGGGATCAATAATTTCTAATTGAAAACGAAACCCTGTGTTGTCAACGTTTGTAACCATGAAAAATAATTTGTTCCAAATAACAACTAAGACTGGCAAAGTACACGCTGTGAGCTAACAAGTGGATGATTCAGAACTCTCCTGCTGAGCTCCAGGGAGCTAGTGTATTTTCTGTTAATTTGCAACACAAGAAGGTCTGTGTATGATATAAGCAGACACTGTTGAAAGTTAAGCTCAAAGGTCCAA